GAGAGAGAGAGAGAGAGAGAGAGAGAGAGAGAGAGAGAGAGAGAGAGAGATGTGGACGTCGACCCCGACCTCGACACACTCATTTGCACTGTCGAGCAGTTGCCACGCGTCGCCACAAACACACACACAAGCATGGAAAGCGAAAAAGTTTTTTTTTTTTTTCATATTTTTTTCGTCAATTGATTGATTGATTGATTGATTGATTGATTGGTTGGTTGTTGGGGGGTCGGCTCCCCCTGCAGTGTGCACACACACACACACACACCAATCAATCAGTCAATCAATAATTCTTTTTACTTAATATTTTTTTTTAAATTGATTGATTGATTGATTGATTCCCAAGCCGACCGCAATGATGATGTGACCGCAATCACGAGGGGACCCGACTAACTGGAATGCCAATCTGACCCGACCCGACGGGACAGATTGATACTCATCCCGACGAGGGCAATCAATCAATGAATCAATGAATCAATGAATCAATCGATCAATCAAGGAATTGATTGATTGATTGATTGATTGGTCGATTGATTGATTGATTGATTCCTGAGCCGACACCAATCGATCAATCAATCAATCTTCTTCTTATTATTATTATTATTTCCCTGCTGTTGTCGCCATCATCCCGATCCCGTTTATGGGGAAGCTCGACATGTGGTAAGATCGCCATGTGCCAAGTGGCCCACGTGGCAAGTGGGCCATGCCTATCCTCCTCCACCTCCTCCACCTCCGCTTCCAACGACTTCCCAGCCTCCTCTGCATCGTCTTCCGGGTTCGGCTCCGCCTCTGCCTCCCCCTGCGTGTCCTCCTCCACCTCCATTTCCGTCCACTTCCTCACCTCCTCCACCTCAACTTCCAGCTCCGGCTCCGCCTCCGCCTCCCCTTGCGTGTCCTCCTCCACCTCCGCTTCCGCCGGCTTCCCCACCTCCACCGCGTAGCCTTTGACTCCGGGTGCGCCTGCGTCGTCGACTCCTCGTCCGCCTTCTTCTTCTTCTTCTTCATCTTCTTTTTCCTCTTCTTCTTCTTCTTCCCCCGGCTTCCCCCCTTGCTTTCGTTGTCCCCCCGTTTCCGCTTCCGCCGGCTTCCCCCCTTGCTTGTACTTTCCCCCGCTTCCAATTCCGCTCGCTACCTCCCCCTCCCACATGACAAGATTGCCACGTGGCAAGTTCGCCACCTCCGCCTCCCACGTGCCAAGATCGCCACGTGGCAAGTTCGCCACGCGGCAAGCTCGCTACCTCCACCTCCCACGTGACAAGATCGCCACGTGGCAAGTTCGCTACCTCCGCTTCCACTTCCCGATCTCGATCCCAATCCCCTCCGCCCACCTTCGCCGACCTTCGCCCACCTCCGCCCACCTTCGCTCCACATGCCTACCTCCACCCACCTCCGCGCACCTCGGCCCATCGGCGGTCCACGCGGCCACCTCCTCTACGCCCACCTCGGCCCGATTGATTAAAATGGGGGTCGAAGGATCATCGCGGTCCCCTCGGAGAGAGAGAGAGATTCCGCGGCCCCTCCGCTGCTTCCCCCTCCCATGTATGAATATCACCACGTGGCAAGTCCGCTACCTCCGCTTCCGCTTCCCGATCCTGATCCCAATCCCCTCCGCCCGCCTCTGCCCACCTCCGCGGACCTTCGCCCACCTCCTCCCACCTTCGCTCCACCTCCGCCGACCTCCGCCGACCTCCGCCCACCTCCGTAGCACCTCCGCCGACCTCCGCCGACCACCGCCCACCTCTGTCGACCTCCTCTCGACCTCCACCGACCTCCGCCCACCTCTGCCGGCCTCCGCTCCACCTTCGCCGACCTCCGCCGACCTCCGCCGACCTTCGCCGACCTCCGCCGACCTCCGCTCCACCTCCACTCGCCTCCGCCGACCTCCGCCGACCTCTGTCTTCTCGGCTTTCAATCAATCGATCAATCAATTAATCAATCAAGCGATCATTGATTGATTGATTGATTGATTGATTGATTGATTGATTGAAATTAACAAAAAAACTTTTTGAAAAAAAATTGCTTCCGCCCCCGCTTGCGCCTCCACCTCCGCTTCCGCCACCCGCTTCCAATGAATCAATCAATGAATCAACCAATCAACCAATCAACTCCGGTTCATTGGTTGATTGATTGATGGATTGATTGTTTGAAAAAAAAAATAAAAAAAATTATTGCTATCGCGAACACGTGGGGACGGCACCTGACCCGACTCAATCAATCAATCAATCAATCAATCAATCAATCAATCAATCAATCAAGATTGGTTGATTGATTGATTGATTGATTGAAATTAACAAAAAAAACTTACAAAAAAAAAAACGCTTCCGCCCCCGCTTGCGCGCGCCACCTCCGCTTCCGCCACCCGCTTTCAATGAATCAATCAATGAATCAACCAATCAGCCAATCAACCAATCAACGAATCAACTTTGGTTCATTGGTTGATTGATTGATTGATTGATTGATTGAAAAAAAAAAAAAAAAAAGTTGCTGCTATCGCAAACACATGGGGACGGCACCCGACCCGACTCAATCAATCAATCAATCAATCAATCAATCAATCAATCAAGATTGGTTGATTGATTGATTGATTGATTGAAATTAACAAAAAAAACTTATAACCCCCCCCCCGCTTCCCCCCCCCGGTTCCACTTCTACCTCCGCTTCCGCCACCTCCCTCTTCCACCCCTGCTTCCAATCAATCAATCAATCAATCAACCAATCAACTTCGGTTTATTGATTGATTGATTGATTGATTGATTGAAAAAAAAATTACTGTGATCGTGAACACGTCAGGATGGCACCCGACGTGATTGATTGAAAAAATAAAATTATAATAAGAAAAAAAGAAAAAGGACGGGGGTTCCCCACCTCCGACATTCATCTGTCCCCCTGCGTTCGCACCTCTGTCTCCTCCGCTTTCAATCAATCGATCAACCAATCAATCAATCAAGCGATCATTGATTGATTAATTGATTGATTGAAATTAACAAAAAAACTATATAAAAAAAACCGCTTCCGCCCCCACTTGCGCTTCTACCTCTTCTTCCACCACCCACTTCCAATGAATCAAACGGTGCATCAACCAATCAACTTCGGTTCATTGGTTGATTGATTGATTGCTTGAAAAAAAGAAAAAAAAAAGTTACTGCTATCGCGAAAACATGGGGATGGCACTCGACCTGGCTCAATCAATCAATCAATCAATCAATCAATCAATCAATCAATCAATCAATCAATCAATTGATTGATTGATTGATTGATTGATTGATTGATTGATTGATTGATTGATTGATTGATTGATTGAAATTAAAAAAAAAAAAATATTAAAAAAAAAACGCTTTCGCCCACAGTTCCGCTTCCACCTCCGATTCCGCCACCTCCCCCTTCCACCCCCGCTTCCAATCAATCAATCAATCAATCAACCAATCAACTTCGGTTCATTGATTGATTGATTGAAAGATAAAAAAACAGTTGCCGCGATCGTGAACACGTCGAGACGGCACCCGACGTGATTGATTGATTGATTGATTGATTGATTGATTGATTGAAAAAATGAAATTATAATAAGAAAAAAAAGAAAAGGAAGGGGGCTCCCCACCTTCGACGTTCACCCGTCCCCCGGCGTTCGCACCTCTGTCTTATCCGCTCTCAATCAATCGATCAATCAAGCGATCATTGATTGATTGATTGATTGATTGAAATTAACAAAAAAAACTTATAAAAAACCCCGCTTCCGCCCCCGCTTGTGCTTCCGCCACCCGCTTCCAATGAATCAATCAATGAATCAACCAATCAACCAATCAACCAATCAACCAATCAACCAATCAACCAATCAACCAATCAACCAATCAACCAATCAACTTCGGTTCATTGGTTGATTGATTGATTGATTGCTTGAAAAAAAAAAAAAAAAGTTACTGCTATCGCGAACACGTGGGGACGGCACCCGACCCGACTCAATCAATCAATTAATCAATCAATCAATCAATCAATCAATCAATCAATCAATCAATCAATCAATCAATCAATCAAGATTGGTTGGCAATGATTAATTGATTGATTGATTGATTGAAATTAAAAAAAAAAAAAATCATAAAAAAAAAAACCGCTTCCTCTCCCGGTTCCGGCTCCGGTTCCGATTCCACCTCCGCTTCCACCATGCGCTTTACTGATTGATTGGTAGATTGAGAGAGAGAGAGAGAAAGAGAGAGAGAGCGAGAGAGAGAGAGAGAGAGAGAGAGAGAGAGAGAGAGAGAGAGAGAGAGAGAGAGAGAGA